CCCCCCCCCCCCCAACCAAAAAATTAATTGTAATTGCGATCTTTTACAGCAGTTTTAATATTCATTATGGATTTTAAAATGTAAATAAAATCATTGTTATTATTGTTGTTGTTGTCGTTGTGCAAACTTACAATCCTTTAACATTAAAGAACTTATTTTAAGATGTATACAAGGAATATTTTTAAATATATATGTCTTACAGTAAGTGTAGTAATCTATAATTTTAATGGTAATTTCTTGAGTAAAAATCAGAACGTTTAGATTTGAATGTGTCATTTGTTTTGCATTTGTAAAAAAAGCCTTTCTCTGAAGGACGTGGCAAGGGGCGTCAGTGTTTGCGAGGGAGTTTTCTGTTTGGTTATTCCTGTGACGAATATGAGTATTTCTCCGTTGACGTAAAGTATAATACACGATTTACATTTTGGGTGAGCGTACACATTTATTTTGTACAACAGAAAATTATCAGGTTTGCGTAAGTTTACCATACTTAGTAGTTTTATGCCGTTATCGTGATGCACTGCAGTGTACTTTTTGAGTCGTATGTGATCGCCTTCTTAGAATTCTTCATGAGCTATGATGATCTGAAGCTTCTGCTGAACGCTCATCTTATACCGAATCGATCTACAGGTAACAGTTGGCCAAGACAGTTTACCGCGTTCAACGTCATGTAAACAGCAAAGATTGGTGAATTTATTACGGATAGGGGTATACAGTTTACAGTTAATGTCACATTAACAGTTTTCTGGCTTACAAAATCGAAAGTAAACTACTGAATTCGATTTTGAATAGCGTCCATAGAATATTTAGTTCTTACTGACAACTGCTCTTAAAATTAAAAACTGTATTTTTCTCCGTGCTACACAAACAACGACAATATAATGTTCCCTAGGTAAAAAAATAAATAAATAAAATAAATATCATATATTCAAATGATTTTATTCTCTGATATAGAGCAAAAAAGATACCAAGTACAGCTGTACAAGATTAAGTATGTGTACACAAAATATAATACAAATTTGGTCCCATTAACCAGGGTGGGGTTAAAGCTCGGGAGCTTTCTCAACTGTACAAATGATATGTTTCATATTTGGAATGTGCAAACACCAGATATACCTGGTGGCTACAAATTGAATAATAAGATACCTATATAGAAAAAAAATGTACAACAGTCACATACAAATTGCTGCAAATGTATAGGCCTGCAGGTGAACACAGTACAGTTTACATATTAAGTGGCATAGTGGTGCTACAAATAGTGAAAAAAAAGAGTACATCTCAGAACATGCTAGGACGGAAATGAAGGGCCATTTTGTTGGTTGGCTCTCTCTATCATGCTGGTTATTTGCCGAGTGGTAAGCTGGCTTACAAGTGTGGAATGTAGGAGAATTGGTCTTAATTATATGTCACAGTCAACATCACAATCTGGTCATTTAATTCACTGATAAACGAGGGAATATAACATTGAAACCATCTTCAGCAACAGTTATCTCTCAGCAAATAACAGTTTGCAGCCTAAGAGCTCAAGGACGGAGTGTGAGTGAAAAAAGGACGGCAAAAACAAAGGGCTCTCTGCACTGCCTTGGTCAACAGCAGCGAGAAGTGGACAGAATTTGATAAGAACTCTTGTTTGTCAACACAGAGAAATCATGAAGTTGACTTTTTATATTAAAAAAGTCACAACACCAAAGTAAATGATACATACTATAAGAAAGCCAGGCATTCGGTCTCACACATTCTCTTCATTTCCACTTAAAGCTCTAACTTGTAAGGCTATAAAATATAGCAGGAAGTCTAGTAGTAAGCAAAAGCTAATGACTTAAAGCCTTGAAAACATGTTGTACTTGCCAAACCTAACTACAGCAATAAAACTGTATATCATAAATTTACAAGATGGCATAGAAATTATACAGCTAGAAGATGTACAGTTTATGTACAGAACTTTTTAAAAATCTTGATAAGGAAAGTCATAATTATATTGAAAATTCATGTCACATTTAATTACATTGAATATCACAGTCGCTGCTTGCCAGTATGACTATTATTTAGATACTTCACAACTTGAGCAGAAGCTTTCAACACAAATTGGAAAAGTCTATTTCTTTTTCTTTCCAGCTGGACTTTTCTTTCCCTTGGCACTCTTCCTTCCTTTGGGTGAAGGGGCTTTCTCTTGCTCTGCACGGAGTGCTGCTTCTTGGGCTGCGAGCTCTTCCAGGCGTTTCCTCTCTGCCTCCAGGTATTTCTGTCTGAAGGCTTCACGAGGAATGTTGATCTCATTACGTTTCTTGTCAAGTGCAGCCTATAAAAGGGATGGGAGTGCAGGTGGTCAAACAACAGTTGGGAGACTAGTGTTTAGTACTATATGAGTAGAGAGAGAAAGATTGGTACATATAAGGGGATAGATAACATAATAAAATATGTGTACAGTTTGAAGGATGGAAACTCCTGAAATAAACAGGTAAAATTTAAGTGCAAAATATTCTTGGATGGACTGATGTGCTTTGTGCTCAGATGTCTGGATTCTTTGCTGGGGATAAGGGTTTTACAAGTAATTCACCTGAATAATAAAAAAAATTGAAGGAAAATCAACTGGCATTGGGATAAATGGTGTTTTAGGGTCACTGACTTCTTTCCTACTGGAATGTGGGCATCACTGAAAACAAACTGGAATATGGGAAAGTAGCCTGTTTTGGGATAAATCAATTAAGTGGAAAGTACTATTGTTGGTGCTGTTACTCTCTCAGTGCTTACAGCATTTTCTGCCACCTTCCATCAGCACCTCACAAGGAGTTCTTCCACTCTTTCCACATATCACCCCATCAGACTGATTCCTATGATTTTCATCACCATCTGTCAGAACAAGGTGATTAGGTAAAGTCAAAGTTATTTCAGTGTCAGCATGTGTATCAGTGGCAGCTGTATTAACCCTGTGGTCGCCTTCCATCTCAGACATAGCCTCCCTGCACTTCTGTATGTACACAGTGTGCATGATCACATAGGCCGCTCTCTGGGCATGAAGTGTGTGCTAGTAGGAGGCAAAAAATTCATAGAAATACAGGAATACATGGAAAATAATGTGGTTGAAACTCCTGGAAAACATTGTTTTTCATATGTATAAGCCCTACAAGAGAAGTGGTATTTCAATCCATAAAGTTTTGAAATTTATTCTTGAAAAAAAAAAGTTTAATAAACTGTGTTTGCAAGACATGTCTCCTTTTAAAACTTAGCATTTTTTTTTTTTGGGGGGGGGGGTCAACAATCTTTCAAATTCTGAACAAATTTAATATTGAAATTTAATATCAAAATTAATATCGAAACAACAGAATTAAAAAAAATTCCTCAATAAAAACATTTACAAAATTCCTTCCTTTTCAAAAATTCAGATATGGTCAAGAAACACATGTTAAAGTTGTAGTATAGCATACCTGCAAAGCCTGACACTCCTCTAGCTGTTTGATCTTCAGCTGATTCCTCAGCTGCCTGTCCTCTTCCCTCCACTGTTCTACCTGCTCCCTGAATGCCTTGTACTCCTCAATCTCCTTCCTCTTGGCGTCCATCTGTCTCTGGATCTCGGCCTCGTCCAGGTATCTGGGACCATCACCCGATTTCCTGCAAAGTAATAAAAAAAATTGAAAATATAATGAAATACAGCACTGGCTTCTCATTTAGCTCTACAAATATATATTGTTTCTCAAGACACTACTAATTTACCCATAATATTGGTTTTAAAAAAATCTTTGATATGTTCACTTCATGATGTACTGTGCCAGTTTGGAATTTTACTTTAGCGTTGTTCAAAGTTAAATCTGAACTTGTTCAACCCCAGTTGTTATTACAGAGATGGCCAATATATAAAAGAAAATAACTGTCAGCATGTTTCATGTCTGATCACTGAGATTAAGTCAGTCTGTGGAATCACACTGGCAGTATACCTCAGGTAGGGAGTGAGGTCCAGAGGCTGCAGCATCTCTTTAGGTGTAGGTGGTGGTGGGGGTTCTAGCGTTAGAATCTCTTCTGTATCTGGAGGCTCAGAAGTGGGTGTCTGTGGTGGACCCATCTCTGCCGCAGCTGCCGCCAAGATCTGCTCTGCACCTTCTTGTGGGGGTGCTGCTGCTGCGGTGGCACTGTCCCCTTTCTCTGCTCCCTCCTCTCCCTCTGGCTGCAGTTTGATCATGTGTGTACTGAGATATTGGAGGCGGGACTGCAACGCCTTGGCTGCACGCCCTGGCTCAGCCTCCTCCCAGGCCTTCTTCATGGCACGAATCTCATCTGCTCTCTCTGTGTCCTTCTTCACATCTATCTCTTCCTACAAAAACAAAGAATTCAGAAGTCTATACATCCATATGTCTAGGAGTCAGGGAAAGGGGGGGGGGGTTAGAGGCACGTCCACTTCAATAAGACAAATATATGATTACAATATTATAGCAAACTCAAAAACTTTTTTCTGCTCAGTCTTTTCCTGTAAAATTTACTTCCTATATGCCTGAAATCACAAGCATTATGACCAGTAGATCCCCATAAAAATAATTCCAATGACAGTAAGACTGATAAGTAGAACAAATCACTTACAGCAGCAGTCCCATCACTAACAATCCTCAGTGTCCAGTAAGGCTTGGTGGTATCAAACTGCTGTGATGGTGGTCTGGAGCCTTGCTTGTCCTTGGCTCCCTTGTCCTTGTCCTTCCCTTTGCTGCCCTTCCCCTGGGCAGCCTTGCCCTGGGCCTTGTCATTCTTAGGGGCAGAGGGTGGACGCTCTTCCTTGTTAGCAACTGCATGAGAGGATTTTTACATACATTTTCATGGAAATGATGATATAATTTTTTTCTTCAACAAAAATGCAATGTTTCACATCCAATTCCCTTGAAAACTTGTTAAAAATATATTTCCCAGCACCAAGGATTTAAGTCAAAATTAAAAAGAAACAAAATCTATTCCTGCCTTTCATTCTTGATGCACTAAACATTCAAAATTTCATTTCTTAGATACGTCACAAACAATACCAATAATGGATTGAATGCTAACATATAACATTGTAGAAGTAAATATGTCCAAATTAACTACCTTTCAGTTCATTCTTTTCCATATCCTTAAGCATCTGTACAAATGTCCAGCTACTTTCAGACAGTGGCCAGCTGTTCCTCATCACCATGGCCTGAATAATGTACTTATGGGGCTGAAATACAAAGTGACATAGTGAATTAAACCATACTGGTTATAATAACAATAGTTCATATCTTAATTACAATATATCTTTTAATAAGTACTTACGACTTTTAACTAAAACATCTTTGGCAATGGCATTCCTTATAAATGAAAATAAATAATAATGAACATGTAATAAATTAAATATCTACATGTAGATCACTGATGTCTACAATAAGTCTCTATATAACAGCCTCTCCCCTCCTCACCCTATTCTCCTTCTCCTCTTCCTCGGGATCTAATGGTGGCAGATCTGAATGTCTACTGCTAGTCCGCTGGAAAAAAAAAGGAGAAAAACTAAAAATCACAATCTATCTTAAGTGAAGATCATGACCCTTGGTATACCCGACATGGTTAGCATGAAATTGTGAGCTACATAATATTATGTGTTTTTGCAATTTCACATTTCTAACTCTATGAAACTGATGAACAAAGCTAAACCTAACTTGACAACACAGTTTTTTCTAAACATGGTATAAAATAGATTAATTTGTTACAATGTTTTACTATATGGTCAAATTAAATATAATTATTAATGAAAAAATCCTCTACTTTATAAATTAAGATTAACAGCTATGTCTTTATGTGAAAAAGATCTATCATATCAAATGTTACTGTATATTGTATAACATGTAACTACTTGTATGTTAAAATGACCCTTCTGCCATTCACTTAATGTTAAACCTATTAATGTTTATCTTTGAAGGCTGATTAATCATCTGGGCCCAGTTTTATAAAGGACGTTTAGCACTAACCAGTGTTTAACTCTAACCAGACCTTAACAGTCTGTTAGTTAACTGACCTTTAAATAATTATTTAATCCAGTTAAACACTGGCAAGTTAACTAATTGGCTGTTTTCCATCAGAAGACTGTATATGAAACACAATTTAACCATCCTTTAGTTAATGGGTGTTAGGAAAATTTATCCACTGGTTAGACTTATCCACTGGTTAGTGCTAAACGTCCTTTATAAAACTTGGCCCTGGTTAAGAGCCTGATTAATTAGAATCCACCATGAACCTCATGCTGTACACAATGATTAATTCAAAATATGTTGGTTTGAATACAAAGCATGCAAATGGAAGAATTAATTGTGCAATAAAATTGGAGGAAAATCAAACAAGTGCACACATAAACAAGGTATAAATTTGCCATCCTGTAATAAGCAAATCTGTGCTGTATTAACTCCTTCAACTTAATAATCACTCATAATGTACTGTATATCATAATTCATGCCACCATTGCTGTATTTATCATCATTATCAGGTGTGCATATCATGCAAAAGGGGTCAAGTGCTTTGTTCATGCTTTTAAAAATACTGCACCACTTAATAAGGAACATAAAAGGATGACACACTCAACAAATAAATAAATAAATTTTTGTATATCACTGCATTAACCCAATGTGACACTCAGCATGCAGGGTAGTGTATTTTGTGATCACCCTGTATGTACCTGTACTGGGGGCACCTCTATCACTGCATGCTTAAAAGGAAAATCAGGATTATAAACGCTATATTCCTTAATCACTTACAGACAGAGATTACTCATAATTCTGCCTACTTCACTTACAGACAGAGATTATTCTGCCATACTTCTTCCAAGTCCTGTTTAGTTAAACCATGTCCATTAACAATATTTAAAATTCCCTTATTAACAGAATATTTGTTAAACTTTCTACTGGCACATTTTTTCAGAACATCAAAAGACAAGTCACGAAGAAAAGAGAAGACTGTCATGTCAATTCTTACCGATCCTGCTCTGCTCATGGCTGAGCCCTGTCTCTTCCCAGCATCCTTCTCTTTACTGGCTGCAGCATGGGCTTTACCACCACCTTTGTTGGCTGGAATGGGAAATCAAAGAATGAATCTCTACCCCAATCTAATATCATAAAATCCATATTAAAATATTAATCAGAATTCTGCAATTGTATGTGGTATACTGATAAATAAAATACAGAATTTTTAACACATACATATGATGAAACTTTCTAATATTTGAGGTGCAAATCTAAGCAGACTCATTATATGGCAATTTGACTAGCGGGAAAAACAGAATATATTATGGACTTATAATAATAATAACAGTTAGATCATACATATACAACAGCTGTTATTTACTCACAAGCTCTGCTGTTGGCTCTCTTCATATCCTCCTTCTCTTCTGATACAGACTGGTCACTACCAGGGTCCTTGAGGAAGATAAAAGATGGCAGCACTGCATGGCCCTTGCCCACTGTGCTGAGCACCTCCTCCTCATGGTCCAGCACCATCAGTTTGATGTAGACATCTGGCTTGGAGGTGGACATCTGGAGGCTGGCCACATGTTCCTCTGTCACCTTCACTGTGTATCTTTAATAAAAAAAATTAACATGAGTAGAAGTATCTTTAAAATCTTACATTACATTACATTTGAAAAACTTGGTTCATAGTTTTTTTTTTCAAGGAGTAAAGATTCAGGCCTAGCAAAATTATACTCACACTTGAAAATACTGGGTTTCTTCTATAAGGGACATTAATATCTTCTTTATACAAAGTATTCTATTATTGGACTAGATTTTCAAAATGGCATTACCATTTGATGAATGTGGCATAAATGTGGTTGCCAGGGACTTATAAAATACCATGTCAAATGGGTGGTTTACTTTTTTAATCAACTTCAGCAAACTGCTTACCCCTCCCCCTGGACAAGTGTATATGTATCTGTCACAGAAAACAGGAACAACATAAGTGACGCTATTTACCTGAATATGATACACTTTTCATTGGGGATGTAGTAGTCTCTGATCTCTCTGGTGTGGAAGCTACAATTCACCTCATTCCTGGCAGGAGCAGGCAAGGCAGTTAGTGAACCAATCAGACGCATACGCCACTTGCCATTGGGCAGAGGCTGGTCTGTGGTTCTGGACTCTGCTATAAATGTATACCCTCTCTGCAACATATAAAAACAGCCATAAATAGGAGAATTATGTTAACAATAATAATTTTATTGTATTTTTGATGTATCAGGCTTTGAAAATCAGTTTAATTTTCAGATTATCAGAATTGAGAGAGAGAGAGAGACGGGGG